GTGGGTGAGAGCAGCTCTTCTTGCCCCCAGGGAGTCCTTCCTCTCTCGCCTGGGCTCCCCGGTTCTTTCAGCTGAGACAAACGAGTCAAGCTTCTGAGTCCCTTCACCACAGCTGCCTCTAGCCCTGCTTCTGCCTCTCAAAGGCCCAGAACAGAGCACAACCCTCCAGGTGGGGTCCCTCAGGCTAGCCCAGGCCCCCCCCCATCCTGAACATTTCCCATCCACACATGCAGCCCACGATGGCTTCTGCTTTTTGCTAACAACCCCATCAGACAACTGGCTTTTATTATGGAACATTGCAAATCATATATCCAAGAGTAGAGAGAGGAGTGGAATGAACTCCCATGTCCCCATCACTCAGTTTCAACAATTATCAATCTTGGCTAGTCTTGTTTGGCTACCCATGTCTCCTCCCACCCCCGGGATTACTTTGATGTGAACCCAAGACATCCTAGCATTTCATCTCTAGGTATTTCAGTATGGAGCTCTAAAAGACTCCCTTTTAAAAACAACCAGTACTCACTCCAGCCACACATAGATGAAAAAAATAACCGAAGTACCACTGTCATGTCTGCCCCCTCCCCAAAGTTAACAAGACCATTGTCTTTTGAAGAGGCTTTTCGAAGTTAAGTGGAGGGAAATAATGAAAAGGAGAATATAGAAACAAATTGATCTCCATAAAAGATGCTCATAGTGGAAGGAAGTTTTGTCTCTGCTCTTGGTCCTCATTCCCACACCAAGGAGTTGGGATCCAGATAGAGTTGGAACGGGAACATCTCAGGATTGTGATGGGGGGCTCTGGCGGAGCTCTGGAAGGCCAACTTGCCGAGATGGGGTCAAGAGGAGGCCAGGGTGATTGGGGTCCCGTCATTTGCTGACCATGTGACCTTGGGCAGGTCATTCAGCCTCCCAGAGTTACGCGTTCATCACCAGCAAAATGGCTTGCCATCTCCGTCCTTACCTCAAGATCTGCCAGCCTTCTGGGCAATTCTGTATGGCCCCTTGGGCAACCCAGCCCACACCAGGGTCTTAGAGTTACAACAGTTTTGCACCTAGATAGATCAAGTGCAATAATTCTTGCCCCCACTCCGCCTCAGATGCCCACATCCATGACCATAACCTTGATATTGTCACTAGGAAGCTGCTCCACCTCTCGGAGCTGAAACTGCAGTGTCTGTCACCATTCATTCCTTCTGTTACTCCTTCATCTTACCAAGACCGCCAGTCCTGTCAGCCCCTCCATTTCTCCCAGTTTATTGGCCCTCTTACTGGTCCCCTTTCCTTCCTTATCCAAGTTAGACTCCAGAGCTCATCCCCTTAACTCCATGCTGGTCAAATCCTCAATCCTTTGCTCCCCCACACTGTGAGCCCCCAGCTTCCGCTCCAGCCAGCCCCCTACCCTGGCTCCTCTGTACCCCCCGGCTCGCTGGGGGACTGGCTTCCAGCGTTCCCCGTTCCCCCTGGAGTGGGGTCCTTCTGCACAGGCCTCCTTCTCTTCACCTCCTTTTTTTTTTTTTTTAAAGATTTTATTTATTTATTTGAGAGAGAGAATGAGATAGAGAGAGAGAGAGAGCACATGAGAGGGGAGAAGGGTCAGAGGGAGAAGCAGACTCCCCGCCGAGCAGGGAGCCTGACGCGGGACTCGATCCCGGGACTCCAGGATCATGACCTGAGCCGAAGGCAGTCGCTTAACCGACTGAGCCACCCAGGCGCCCTCTTCACCTCCTTTTGAAGCCCTCTCTGTATTCGAGCCCCTCCCCAGTGGTCTGCCGATAAAGTGGCTTGAAAAAACAAAGACGAAGACAAAAACAAGTCATTAGCTGGTTTCCATGATGTAAATACTCTCACCATGCCTCCCATTTCCACGGCTGTGTTTAATAGCCCCACACACAGAATTCCTGAAAGCTTCACAACCAGCTTCCTCTTTAGTAAGCCAAGGTGCGTTTCCCGCGGATGATTCCCCTCATCCTTCACAGAGTGAAGAGAGGCCAGCAGGCGAGAGCTCACTCCACTTCCTGGCCCTCTGAGGAGAGGTCTGCCTTTACCACTTCTGCCCCTCACCCCCTCCTTCGAGCGCTGCCTCCGCACCCCGCCCCCCACTGCTGGGTCCCCAGCCTGTCCTCTCCTCAGCTCTACTGTCCTTCCGGCTGTCAGCGTGGTTGTTTCTTCAAAGAACAGAAACAACAACAAGAAACATTCTTTTTTTTTAAAAAAGATTTTATTTATTTGAGAGAGCACAAGAGGGGGGAGGGTCAGAGGGAGAAGCAGACTCCCCGCTGAGCAGCAGGGAGCCCGATGCGGGACTCGATCCCGGGAACTCCAGGATCATGACCTGAGCCGAAGGCAGTCGCTTAACCAACTGAGCCACCCAGTTGATCTCCCTTCCTGCAGAGCGAAGCTTCCCAGGATCCCAGTTTCTACCTTTGGACCTCTCTTTCCCTCGTCCCACCGCATCTAGACTGTGCTTTGCCTTCACTACTCCGCGAACAATGCTGGGGTGGGATTTAGCAATGACTTTCTCGTTGCTCTGTCTTTCCATCCTTATCTTGCTAGACTTCCCTGCTGCTTCAGCCCACGCTGACTGCCTCATCCTCAGTGAAGCTCTTTGCTTCGCTTCGTTTCGGGGGCAATAGCCTTCTTCCTGAGTGTCAGGGTTCTCCAAGGTTCCAGCCAACTCTGATGCCCTATAGGCGTCTCGGGGCCGCCAACACTGAAACCTGAGCTCAGAACCAGGGCCCTGAGACTTCCGGTGTGAGGGCTGGTTGGTGCCAGAAGAACCAAGGAGGAACCAACGTTGGGGAGAAAAGTGTTGAACCAAGAGCCGAACAGGATGAACCTCAGGCTTTCCACTTACTCGCTGTGTGACGCTGGACATAGCATTTCACCCCTCTGTGCATCAACTGGGGATCTTAAATAGGGTGTTGTAAAGGTTGATTGAGTTCACACACGTGTTTAGCGTACTATGCGGTACACGGTAACTACTCATCCAATGTCCGACAAATCCCTCCAATCCGTTCTCTGTATGTAAAGAAATTCGTATATGACCATGTGACTCTTCTGTTGAAATAAACCCCAAATAAGGTTTGTTTATTGGGGCAGCTGGCTTTGTGCCCATGCTCACTCTCCTCCCGTCTCCACCCTGTACTTTCCAGCCACCCCAACCCCCGTGAGGGTTTGGGCACAGAACCGTGCCATTTTATGCCTTTCCCTCTTTGCACACGCCATTCTGTCTGGTGGGAACCTTTCCCCCCTTCCTTACCTTACAGAGTTCAGGCAGCACCTCCTTGAAGAAGCCCACCTGGCTCTGGAGGTGACCAGGGCCATAGAGACAAGTGAGTGACTGGGGCAGCCCCATCTTCACGCCCTGACCCACACTCAGCCTTCCTTTGCTTCTCTTTGTGACTGTTTTCAGGACCCACCTCGTGGAGCCCAGTGCTTTGCAGGGGTCTCTAGTTTATAGGAAATGGTGACAAGGCTTGTTTTCCCACAGCTGCTGAGCCCTTTGTGCCCTCCCGTGGAGACCCGGCCTGGAACGCAGGGTGTGACAGACACATGGCTGTCCACCACCGTTTAGACGTCATAGAGGAGGTAATCAGGGTGACTTGGGAGGACACGCAGTTTCAGGACCACCTGCCAGGCTGGTAGCTTTCTAGGGCTCAGGAGAAGCTTGCTTTGGAAAATGGGGGGGAAATCCAGACCAATCCGGCTCCCTGGCCACCATGTGAAACATCTCCCTGCCCTACCAGGGCTGTTAGGCTCACCAGCCCTCAACAGGCTCTGCCTCCGCAGGGGCCTTGCTTCCCTCCAGCTAGAGATCTCCACGTCATTACACACCGAAACGGTGGACATTCAGTCACTGTGTTTTGTTACACAGCCATGGTTTGTAACACTGGGGTATATAAAGATTTACACTTTACTTTCACAAACCTTTAACTGAAATGTAGCATTCCCATTCATTGTAAGTAGACAACAAACCATTGTAGTATTTTTTTTTTAAAGATTTTATTTATTTACTTGACAGAGAGATAGAGAGAGAGCACAAGTAGGCAGAGTGGCAGGCAGAGGGAGAGGGAGAAGCAGGCTTTCTGCTGAGCAGGGAGCCGGACATGGGGCTCGATCCCAGGACCCTGGGATCACGACCCGAGCCGAAGGCAGCCGCTTAACCGACTGAGCCACCCAGGTGCCCCCAAACCATTGTAGTATTACCAGTACTGTGACTTTGTTCTCAATAGAAATCAGATTTCATCCCATTTTATAGTTGTTGTGAATATATCAACATATCATTCATCCTAATCAGCATGTCAAAATTACAGTAGTTGTTAGACCTGATGTTAGATGTTATTTAATGAGTTAATAAATACATACATTTTTACATCAAAGATTTAATATTTATACTTGAATAAGGTTTTAACGCGGTTGGGGTCCGTGGAAACCCTATATGCTTTATTTTTTCAGTTAAAATGTGTTTCTGAGAGGGGGTCTGTAGGCTTCACCAGACTGCTAAAGGGGTTGATTCAGGAAGAAGTTAGGAACGCGGACTGAAGAACGTTTCAAAATCCCAAACCTGTCACTTGGCAGAGTGGCCACCAGGGGGCGGGGCGGCAAAAAGAATGTGAGCTCCCACTGAATTCCGGAAAGGGAAAAAGGAATCCCAGCGTTGCTCCGCGCCGGACTGTGTGACTGAGGGAGTGCATCGCTTCGTGCCAGAGCCAGGAGCGGCCTTAGAGAGCGAAGCTCTGAGATTCTGTCATCTGGGGACCTGAGAGGCCGCACAAATTCAGAACTGGCACTCAGTTCTCTCCCTGCTGCGCCCACTGGGCTGCCAGGTGTCCCTGAGGATGTGGCTGATGAAGCAAGACTTGGCACCGCTCTCGTGCCCTACTCCCTCTGTCCCTTGCTCCGCCCACGCCCCGCTCCCATCTCTCTTGTTCTAGACGGTGGAGAAGACAGTGGAGCACCTGGAAGCCGAAGTGAAAGGCTTGCTGGGTCAGCTGGAGGAACTGGCCCGGAACCTTCCCCCGGGGCCCTTGGGCCCCGCCCCCGACCTCCTCGGAGACGGTGAGCGGCTCGCGCAGCAGAGGGGACAGCTCGGGCTGGGGGTGGCTGCCCACCACCGCACGGGTGTGGCCTGGACAAGCTGGGAGAGGCCTCGGCTCCTCCTGGGCCCGGGCGGGGAGGCATCCCCCAGCTCACCCCGCGAGTTCTGTGCCCCAACCCCCAACTAGGGGCGCTGCAGCCCGGCATCCCAGAGCTTCTGGAAGGGCTGGTGCAGTTCCCTTGGGCCCCGCCTAGCACAGCCCTGGACGCAGAGCCGCCGCCTCCTCCGCTGGCCATGTGCCCGCCTCAGGGCTCCGGGGCTCCTCTCGGGTCCCATGCAGGGAACCCGTCCTGCGTCACCACAGAGCCCTCTGATGGGGCCAGAGGGGGTTGTCCCCTGCGCCCTCCCTGTGCCCTGTGTTCCCTGGCATAGGAGTTCCGGGGCTCGGAGAGGGGCCTGCAGCACTCAGCGATCTGAAAGAGCTAACCCCTTCTCTTTCAGATCGCTTTGGAGCACCAGAGCCTGAGCTGCCCAGCACCTGGAAGTGACCCACGTGTGGGACAGCTCTCCTCCGAGAACACAGCCGTGCCTCCGGGCCTGCCTTCCTCAGCTTGGTGCAAAATAAAAGCTGCTCCCCTGCCCCCGCCACCCCCGCCCCGTGTCTGCTGGCAGTGACCCCTATAGCCACAGCCCCTTCTCCATCTACTCCCAGGCCCTGAGGCCCACATCCTCCTAGGGGCGCAGACGGGGAGACCTCAGGTGGCCTGTGGGGCTGCCCTCCCTATTTATGGGGGCAGACAGGGCGGGAGTGGGCTCAGAGCTGAGGCACCTGAGGCCCAGGTAAGGTGACACAGCGCAAGGGCCCTCAGAGTAGCCTCCCCACTCAAAATGTGGCCACAGACAAGCAGCAGTGGCGTCACCTGGGAGCCTGGCAGAAATACAGAATTTGGGGCCCAACCCAGAGATCCCGCATCAGAATCTACATTTCGGTGAGATCCCCAGGGGATATGTGTGCAAATTTGTGTGCAGTTTTTAAAAGTTTTCCATTGAGGTAAAATTCACACAACATAAATTCCAAAATGTTACTCATTTTAAACTGCACAAATTCAGCGGCTTCACATAGTTGTACGCTAATTCCAGAACATTTACATCACCCCCCAAAAAACCCTGTACCTATGAGCAGTCACTTCCCATTCCCCTCCCACCACCCCTTGGAAACCACTAATATTTCTATCTCTATGGACTCGCCTATTCTGGACATTTCATATAAATGGAATCATTCAATACGTAGCCTTTGTGGTCAAATTTTTTTCCCACTGAGCACAATGTTTTCAGGTTTCATTCATATTGTAGCCTGTATCAGTAAGTACTTCACTCCCTTTTAGAGCTGAGTAATATTCCATTGGATGGATATGCCACATTTTACTCACACATCAACTGATGGACATTTGGACTGTTTGCACTTTCTGGCTATTATGAATAATGCTATGAATGCTATGAATATTTATGTACAAGTTTTTGTGTAGACATGTTTTCATTTCTCTTGGGTCTGTAACTAGGGATGGAATTGCTGAGTCAAATAGTGATTCTATGTTTAAGTTTCTAAAGAACCACCAAACTGTTTTTGCACAGTGGCTATACCATTTTACACTCCCGCTAACACTGTGTACATAAGGGTTTCAGTTTTCCCACATCTTCACCGTCTGTCTTTCTGATTATAGCCATCACACTAAGTGTGAAGTGGTAACTCATTGTGGTTTTAAGTTGCATTTGCCTAATGATGATGAGCATCTTGTGTTTCTTGGCCATTTGTCTTTTTTGGAGAAATGTCTATTCAAGTCCTTTGCCCATTTTTTTTTTTTTTAACATTTTATTTGTCAGAGAGAGAGAGAGAGAGAGAGCATGAGCAGGAGGAAGGGGAGAGGAAGAAGCAGGCTTCCTACTGAGAAGGGAGCCCGATGCGGGACTCGATCCCAGAACTCTAGGATCATGACCTGAGCCAACAGCAGACGCTTAACCGACTGAGTCACCCAGGCGTCCCTCTTTTGCCCATTTTTTTTTTTTTTTACAATTATTCAAGACCTTTATTAACGGGTGCTTGCCGTTTGTTTTTTTTGAAAAAATCAAGTTGTAAACTTATTACAAATTAAAAATGAGGTTCTTAAATATCTCAACTTGACCAGATATGAAACAATTTAAAAACCTTTAAAGGTGTATTGAGAAAGACCGGGTTTGTTTTTTTTTAAAACACGTTTGTCATTACCAAAAAGAGACGTCTTTAGGTAAAAATAATAAAAACCCCATGCTGCGTAGATAATGCAGATAGTTCTATTTATCTGGTCAATGGGCAAAAAGCAAGCACTTAAGGTCTTCAGCTCCAGTCTTCTGTTCATTTCTTACTGCTGGAATTTCATCTTCATTTCTTCGCGGTGGATGACTAAACCGGATGCTGGTAGAGGTGGTAAGCCGGCGTTTGCTCAGCCCCGCCCTGCTCAGCCTCCGGAGCGGATGAATTCTCAGCTGGTGGATCGACTGCTTTTGTCTCTTTGCCAGCTTTGTGGTTGAGGGTTTTCCGGGCGTCTGCGTGGGTAATTGAAGTCGCGGCCGTACCAACGTTGAGGTGGCTGCTGACCTTGGGTCTCGTCTCCTTGATTTTCCTTATCTTCCGCATTGCCACCCTCTCTAGGCTGTCTTTGGCGAGGAGGCCCCTGCGGAATCGTGGTCTATAAGCCCGATACCTATTCTGTCTCACTGGTCTACGTTGCTCTCCTGCACCCTGGTTGTCAGCACCCTCCATCCCTTCTCCCTGCACAGGAGGGTTGGAATACTGCGGTCGACGCCCAGAGGGTCTCCGCGTGTAGTAAGGTGGGAGCCGTCGCCCGCGGTAGGGCCGGCGCTGTTGGGCCTGGCCCTCGGGAGCACTTTCCGATCCCTCGTTCTTTTCCCCACTCTCACTGTTCTGGTAATTCTGCTGGGAATGGCGTGGAGGGAGGACCGCTGCGACGTGGATGGCGTCTATACTGGTTACGGTCTGCTGCATGTTTACTGCCTTGCACTGGAACTCCACCAGGGCCTGTCACATTTGCTGCCTCCGCACCCTTTCCTCCTCAACATCAAACTCCACAGTGTCTCCATCTTCTACACTGCGAAGGTACCTCCTGGGGTTACTCTTCTTTATGGAGGTCTGGTGTACAAATACATCTTCCTTGGTGTCATTCCTGTTGATGAAACCATATCCGTTTCTTACATTGCACCATTTTACTGTTCCCAAAACCTTCGTTGCGATGACGTTCTTGTCCCCGCTGGCAGCCGCCGCCGATGTGAGGCCGCTGGGGTGCTGCCGGGCTAGGTGTCGGCAGTGCTGAGGGCGGGGGCGGCGGGCGGCTGCGGGGTCTCGGCCTCGCTGCTCATGGTCGCGGTGATGGTGACTGGGGCCGGTGGCGGCAGCTGCGGCTCCTCCCGGGGTGTGATGGTAACTGGGCTGGCGGTGGCGGCGGGGCTGCTCAGGGCTCTCTGGGGTCCCCTCTCCGCTCCCGCTACTGATCGAACTCCCTCCTTTGCCCATTTTAAAAATTGTGTTGTCTTTCTGTTGTTGAGTGGTAAGAGTTCTATATGTATTGTGGATACTAGGCTTTTATCAGAGATATGATTTACAAATATTTTCTCCCATTCTGTAGGTTGTCTTTTTACTTTCTTGTCCCTTGAAATACAAAAGTTTTAATTTTGATGAAGTCCAATTTATCTATTTTTTTGTTGTTGCTTATGCTTTTGGTGTCATATCTAAGAATCCATTACCAAATCCGAGGTCATGAATATTTATTCCTGTTTTCTTCTAAGATTTTTATAGCATTCTAAGATTTTTATAGCATTAGCTGTTTCATTTAGTTCTTTGATCTATTTTGAATTACCTTTTGTATAGGGTGTGAGGTGGGGATCCAACTTCAATCTTATGCTTGTGCATATTCAGTTGTTCCTGCATTATTTGTTGAAGAGAATATTCCTTCCCCATCAAATGGTTCTGGCACCTTTGTCAAAAATCAATTAAGCACAGATGTTAAGGTTTCTCAATTCTGTCCCATCCATATGTCTATCTTTATGCCAGTACCACAGTGTTTGAATTACTGTAGCTTATATTGTAGCTTAAGTTTTGAAATTAAGAAGTGTGAGATCCCTTTTTCCAACACTTTTTTTTGTCTATTTGGGGACCAGTCCCTTGCAATTCCATATGCATTTTAGAATCAGCTTGTCCAAGTCTGCAAAAAGGTAGCTGGAATTTTTATAGGGAGTAGAGTGAGTCTGTAGATCAATTTACAGACTATATGCCATGTCAACAATACTAAGTCTTCTAATCCACGAGCACAGGATGTTTTGTATTTTCTTTCAGTATACAAGTCTTACACCAACTTAAATTTATCCTTAAATAGTTGTTCTTTTTGATACTATAAATAGGACCTTTTTAAAAAGATTTTATTTATTTGAGAAAGAGAGCACAAGCAGGGGCAAGGGGGGGGAGGGGGAGCAGACTCCCCACTGAGCAGGGAACCTGATGTGGGGCTCGATCCCAGGACCCTGAGATCATGACCTGAACCAAAGGCAGACGCTTAACCCAGTGAGGACCCAGGCACCCTATAAATTGGATCTTAATTTCATTTTCAGATTGTTCACTGCTACTATATAGAAACACAACTGCTTTTTGTATTTTGATCATGTATCCTATATCCTGCAACTCTGCCCAATTCATTTATTAGCTCTACTAGTTTTTGTGTAGATATGATTTATAATTTTCTACATAAGATCATGTCATCTGTGAACAGGAAGTTTTACTTATTTCCAATTTGGATGCTTTTTCCTTTTCTTGCCTAATTGCTCTGGCTAGAGGTTTCAAAACAATGTTGTTTGGTGTCGTCTTTAAATCATACAGAAAAAAAAAAAAGCTACAAATAAAAAAATATATTAACAGGAATGTTTATGTTTACCTACGCAGTTACGTTTACCAACGTCTTTTCTTTCTTCATGTGGATTTGAGTTCCTGCTCGGTATCTTTCATTTCAGCTTGAGGGACTTTCTTTAGTGTTTCTTATAGGGCAGGTCTATTAGCAGCAAACCATCTCCATTTTTGTTTATCCAGGAATGTTTTCATGTCTCCTTCATCTTTAAAGAATATTTTGCCAGACGTAGGATTCTTGGTTGACATTTTTTTTTTCTTTCAGCACAACAAATAGGTCATCCCACTGCCTTCTGTCCCGCATGGTTTCTGACAAAACCCTCTCACTGAGACTTTTTTCTCAGGCATTTGTCTGGTTGCTGCAGACTTTCCATTAGTTTTCAGAGTTTGGATAAAGTTGATTCTAACAGTTCTTGCCATCTTATTTGTTGCTTTTGTGTAGGAGGTACACTTTTGGAGGTCCCTACTCCACTGTTTTTGCTGACTACACTGAAGTTTAAGAAGCTCTGATCTTGTCTTTTCATTTTACAAAGGGACAACAAAGGTCCAAAGAGGGGACTACTTCAGGGTCACAAAGCAAATCGGTGGCTGACCTGAGATCAGGACAGGATACCTGACTCCCAGATTGGTGCTCTCTCTGCTTCAGGACAATGTCAACTCTTACTGTAGGTAGGAAGGAACCAGGTTAGAGTGGGCACCAGTGTTGGGCCAAGGGGAGCTTTCCAAGGAGTGAGCGCTGAGGGTAGGAGTCCCTTGTAGAGCCGAGGGCTTCACTGACTGCATCTTTTACTGGGAAAGTCCCTGTAAGGGGCCAGGCAGAGGACCGAGTAATGATGTCCCTATCTCTTAAAGGAATACAGCCAGAGAGAGCTTTCAGGTTTGATGGGGTGAAAATTTAAGCTCTTATCTGCCTGGGGAAGAAAGCCATGATGATTTAGCTTGTTTCTGTTTCCAAGTCTGACTCCACTTCCATCAGCCAGGGCAGAAAGGAACTGACAGCAGAAAAAAGGGGCTAAGTCCTAAGCTAGAGCTGTAACTCCTTGCCAATGCAAGAGGAGGGACATGGCATGGTCACCCAGCTGTTGCCCTGACCACGGGCATTTGCAGAGGTTCGTCTTTCAAATCCCTCTTTCCAAAGCTGGGAGTAGACTTGTCCCATCTTCCATCACCTCACTGAATTCCAAACACAGGTTGCCTCCACCTCACCTGCTGCCCTCTGTGTGAACGGAACACCTTTATCTCAGAAGTTCTGTCTGAGCTCAGGGGCATTTAGATCAGCATCAGAATGACAAAGCAAGCAGGATACAGAAGCAGTTTCCTGACCCCCAGGCCTGCTCAGTTC